TTTCAATGATTAATGTTGTGAAAATTCCACAATGAATAGATAAATGATTGACCATTTCAAATTTCATGCATAAATCCATACATAATATTAGAATATGAATGTTTAAACATAAATCATTTTACAAGAATATTGAGAATTTAAGATGAGTATTGATTACCATTAGCAAAATTCAGGCTCTGTTTGAGCCCCATTATTTTAACAAAATAGATTCTTAAACAGTGATTTCACATCATTTCAATTACATATTTTTCAATAAAATAATATTATACGCAAATCTAAATTTTTTCTTTATTTTTAACTACACATTTTCCATCAGTCTGCTATTCCAAAATGCATTCCTAAAAAATAATGTGGCTCAAACACATACTCAACTTGCATGAAATTGAGAATTTTATTAGATGCTCGTTTTAAGATATTAATTTCTGGTGGAATGACGATCCATGCACTACGTGATGCATTCTTTTTCCTTATCAAGAACAAGACAACTTTATATTGACACGTGATAAGTGCAATTTGTGTATTTATCTATTTCATATTATTAAATTTTTATGTCGTCAAATTATTAATTTCCATTTAACTGAAAGTAATTTTCTTTGTGTTTTTAGTGATGGACTATTTGGAAAAGGATGAAGGATTAATTAGCTATTTGATGCAAAGATTGAAGATCAAATTTCACTGGAGGATATGAAGAAAATAATAAATTAAATGCGCCTAAGTTTTGCACTTAAATGTGTATTCAAATTCATTAGCCAATTGGAATCCTATTTTACACAAGCAAGTGGGCTGGTCCAATTAATTTCACCAAGTTTAATTGAGCTGCAAAGACAAAAGGGCTGCGGGTTTTAGTATATATATACCCACGAAAAAGAATTGGGCCTAGGTTGGAACTTGAACTGGGATCCATTTGCACCATTGTTTGGACCTTTAATTGAATACAAAGGATAACGGCTGCTTTGGTTGATATATATATATATATTTGGTGGGGGAGAAACTTGTGACTTGCGGCTGAGAAAACAAAAAAAGAATGGAGGGCTGCCTTGGGGAAATTATCATACATATACATTGAAAAAGGCAGCCAACTTGGGGGGAGGGGGGGTACTTTGGAGGAGAGAAAAAGGACGGCTGCTTGGTGGAAGCTGGAATTGAACTCCTCAAACAATACAATTGGCGGCTGTTGGAAGGAAAAAAAAGGAAAAGTGGGCAGCTTTGAAGAATTTGGTGGTTGCAAGTGTGTAGGCAGAAGACAAAACATACAAGGCCTTGTATTGGAGCCAATTTTGGGGATTTTATATACATGAAAGGAGACTGGCCTAGAGAAAAAAAAGTTGCTGACAACTTACTGGAATTACACACACACACACGCCAACATTGAAGGAAAAATTGGGCTGAATTTTATATATACACACATATAATTTGGAGCAGCTTTGAGTAAAAGAAGAGAAGTGGATGGCTGCCTTGGGGAAATCAACATACACGTGCAGCAAAGGCCGAGAATAATTTTTGGAATTAATCACTTTCCGTCAATTTTCGATGATTTCCTACCACTTTTATTTGTTTAATTTCAACATGATGCTAGGCTAATTCTCTTCATGTATTGGATGGATGAAAAAACTGTTTCATCCTTAGTTTTTAATTCGAGACTTTATATTTTTATTATTAAGAATAATATTTGTGACGTGTGCGATCATATGTAATAATCCTAAATGTCAATGCATGTTTGTCATATGAATTCGGATTAGGAATAGTATCGTTTCGTGGTAATCATATGTTTATTATATCTTGGAAAAGAATAATAAGTAATAGTTGAATTATCGATCGCCGTAATTGCATGAATTAAGATAATTATTACTGGTTGAGAATTAAAACTAAGTATTGATTAGTGGCGTCGAAAATTCAATATGTTCATTCAATTGAATTTTAAACCAACTTTCATTGATTTACACATTTTAGTTATAAAAGTTAGTTAGCTATTCATTCGATCGTCTTTTGGCCACAAACATGAATTTAAATATATTAAATATACTAGAATTGATCCTTATTCTCTATGCGACAATAACTCTCTCATCATGATTATTACTTGTACAATGAACTCGTACGCTTACGAAATTTTGAGGAACAACACAAATTAAGATTTGATCGTATCCTTTCTCTATTGGTGTGAAAACTTACCACCGAACAACCAAACATTACTCAATAACTAAGCATAATGATATCTGGAATTTTGAAGCAAGGAAAATGACACATGTTACTTCTTTGGTAATTAACTTCCTAAGTAAAATTGTGCTTGATTTTGAACGAGTATGAGAAGGTCTAGCTCACAAAACTTATAGTCTCTAATGAAAAGTCACAACTTTTTAGTTGGTGGTGATAAGCACCTATCTACGTGGGCTTCTTTATTTATTTATTTATTATTATTTTTTAAGATAGTGAAACCTGCTACCTCCATAATATACAAATCTTACGGACATCTAATTTTCATAATCAACCAGTGTGAACTCACATTCCTATTCACATCCACACATCACTACCTATCAATTGTGTCTTTTTAGTGACATGGTAGGATGGTTCGCATGTCATATAGGCACCATGTTTGCCACGACATCATATGCGCACAACTTGCCACTTGTCGCCACGTAATCAACATGTTCCATTAATTACAGTAAAAATTGAATGTCCAACTCCTCAAGACAGATTTTACATACGAAGTGTAAAGTGAATCTTCATAGCTCCAATACAAAATGTGAATTCGATCACCCAATTACAATTGAAGAAAGCATATAATAAACTAAACTATTTCTCCCGAGTTGCTGCATCATAAATCAAATCAAGAGCTTCAAAAAAAGAAAAATATGAAAAAGGTACTAGTAAGGATGAAATATGACTATCATTACAGAAGTACATAAAAGTTCAACTATCTGCAAGACATCTAGTAAACTGTGTGGCTCAAGATTCATGTGGCTTATGCAAATTCTGTTGTGCATTTTATGGTTAGAACTGGAACAGACTGAACTATGGCACAGAGGAGAGAATAACAACAGCAAAAGGCAAAAGCACATACAGAAATGAATATAAAATATCAAAAATTTTCTGAGAAACAAACAACCTAAGAAGGAAGACCTGTTTGTCAAACATTTAACTGGAAAGCATATAGCAGATAGGCAAGGGAAAAAGCATCTTAACTGAGATAGAGAGACAGCCTAATAAATGGATGGATACATAAAAATGATACATTGTAACCTAAAGAGACAAAGAAAAGCCATAACCTGCATCTTTACCATTGATCAGGAAATCCTACTCTAATAAAGCAAAACTCAGCACACGAAACCAGCAGTGTACAAGGATGAAGACAAAACAGAAACTTCAAGAATCTTGATCACCTCCTTTTCGAGATCCAAATTCTTGTTGCTCATTTCAAGAAAATCTTCCCCATTTATTTACAAACTTTAAGGGAGCTGACATATAGTTTTTTGCAATAATATATCCCTTCGTCCAAGACTCCAACCTTTCCATATTCATTAACTACATGAGAAAATTTGATTGCAATAATATATCCCTTCGTTTAAGAACTTAGGGGGTGCTATAAAGAAGCAATAACATTTGACATTATTTTTGGTAAAAAAAAAAAAAAAAAAAGAAAAAATAAAAATTTTGCAAGTTTTAAGGGATGCAAGACATTGTGGAACTTGTCCTTGTAGGAATGGATAATTTAGCCACTCATCAACACATTAATTAAGCATACGATGCAGTGATTGATCTTCTATAAAATTGGCTAAAAACCAAATGAATTTTCTACACCCTGTACCCAGTGTTAGTTAATTATTCAACTGAAAATTCTGCATGGATATCAAGCACAATTTTCACAATATCAACTCAGACCTGAGACTCTTAAAATTACACTATGGAATTGAACTGCAATTAAAAATCAATTAAAATTACACTATGGAATTGAACTGCAATTAAAAATCAACTCCCAGCATCCAGGAAAAATGGATATCATTTGAGAGGTAACATAAGTATAACACTATCCAACAATCTGCAGAATGTCTAATTTAGTCCCTGCTTGACTCTCTTTAAATTAAATTCTATATTTCTCATACTCATTTTCAACCACACATTTACACAATAAAATATTCTTCACGTGAACCCAAAACTTTTCCCTATTTCTTATCCACACATTCTCCAAAAAATCACTATTCAAAACATCATTTTCCCCCAAGTGCTCTTTATAATGGCCATCAAACAGGGGCTTACTGCTTGCACCTGTTGGCTCAAGATTCGTCTGCATTTTATTGTTTTCGAACTAGAACACATCTAATTATATAAGCAGAGCAAAAGGCAAAATCATATATAGCATTTATGCATGTGAAACTGTAAAAGAATAGGCAACATCATAAAATTTTCTGCACACCCAACAACTTTCTAATGCATACAGACTTGTTTATCAAACTAAAAATTGGAAAGCATCAAACAGAAAGGCAAAGCAAAAGGTATCTTGATAAAGTTGGAGAGTAAGTCACGTATACAGATAGCTATATAAATTGATAGATTGAAAGCTGAAGAAACAAAATAGATCACGTTGTTGCAGTGTTTTAAGGATATTTATAATAAATATGAAATGGTTCCAGAGAAAGATTGGAGGTTAATATGGGGAGTCTCCATCTCGCCCACCTTGGGTAAAATTAGTCTCCTCTCTTACTTTGGTAAGTCAAGTCCCTAAAAATAAACCAGCAATTTAGACAGTAGATTCTCCAAGCAATGATTCTTCCACAACTGACTCCTATGATAAGCAAAAAGCTTCACATTCCTACACAGATCTTCTGTCCTGATCATTATCAAATATAACTGCATATGCATACACAGTTCACAGTTTAGGTAAATATAAAGAACCATGACATTTTTGTGATCAATGCATGCATGCATGTTACACCCTGATACAAAATAGTTACTAGTGTGCAATTTTTTTGTAACATGAAAGCCACTTCCAGATGCAAAATCTACCGTCTTCCCAATTAAAGCTTGGTATTGAGATAATTAATAACATCAATATATAGAAAATGACAGCCAAAAGCTAAGAACATCTGTAGTTCCAACAGTACAATTACCATGTAGTTACTCAGTTACAAGTACTCCAGGCACACACACCATGATCGTAATACAAACTATTTATATAATGATACAAATAGCCAGGAAAAACTCAAGTATTATCTACAATTAACTAATCACTAACAGTAAAAGCTCTTACTCACATAATTCACAATATAACAGCTTATGTAAGCATTACTGCTGTGATATACTAGTAATAGGTCAGAGCTTTCACATTTATCCTTCATAATTTCTTGATACGCCATCAATCTCTGAAGCTACCATAACCTGATCATTGATCAGGATACCATTACCATTGATTGGGACAATATTAGGCACAACTTCATGCCCATCACCAAGCAAAGCCAAACTTGGCACAAAACCAGCAGTGTTGAAGGACAACGGCAAACCAGAAACTTTGAGATTCTTGGTCTCCTCCTTTTCAAGGTCAAGCAAAACCAAATTCTCTCCTCTCATCTCAAGTAAATCTTCCCCATTATTCAAAAACTTTAAAGGAACCATATGATTTTGTACAATACTATATTTCTTCATCCAAGACTCCACCTTTCCATAATCATTCATTAACCACATATCCCACCTCTCACCAGCATTATCAGAATAACTAACAAATAGAGCCACTGATTTTTCATCAACTGATGGAGACAATCGCAATTCCCTAAAATTCAGTTCAAGATCTCTCGGCAACTCCATCACCTTAAAAACCTCCGCACTTATACTGAAAGCCATAATGCAATTGGGGTGACCATCAGCAGTTAGCCTTGTATACGCCAACCAATGCACAGCCTCATTCACAAGTACATTGCTGGACCAATTATTGTGCATAAAACAGGGTACTGCCACCTCAATTTTCCTCCAAGATTCATTTTTTATTTGATAAACCAAAGCCTGACGCCCACGCTCAGATTCATAATCCCTATCATATAAAATTTGCACCACCTTGAAATCAAAACTTACATAATCAAATCCAAACCCAACAGCCATGTGAGAAAATTCGGTTGTAAAACGATGAAACCAGTGCGCATCTGGAAGAATTTTAAATTTCCTAATAGAGGGATTCCAGAGAATCACCGTGCCAATATAGGTGAAATAGTTGGTGTCAAACAAGCAGATGAGTCCATTGCTTGAACCCACGAGCCTTAAGTACCCATGGAAACTCTCAAAAGGAACCTCAAGCCTTTTGCACAAAGAGAACTCGGTAGCACCGTGAAAAGAGATGTACTGTTTTGTGTAGTCGGTGGATTCATAGTAAAGCAGGTGGCGAGGGTCGCCGGTGTCGGTGCCGCCGCCGCCGCAGATGGGGGCGGTGGAGTATGTAAGGAGTTTGATGAAGTGGTGGTTGGAAATTAAGCAGGCGAAGGACTTGGAAACGCACCTGAGTTGGAGAAGGGATTTCACGGACAGCTTTAAAAGGATTTGGAAGATTACATCTTGTGGAAGGCAGGAGAACATATCATGATGGTTTCTCATTCTTGTTAATTTGATTGAATCGTGCCAAACGGTGGACTTTGGGAATACATAAAATTCAATGAAGAAACATAGCCCTTGTTTGATTTTCTTTACATTACGTAACATTACATTTTATTTTTCTCTCCTATTTTCAACCACACAATCTTCCATAAAATAATATTACACGTAAATCGAAAATTTTTCTTTATTTTTCAACCACTCATTTTTCAAAAAACACTATTCTATACATTAAATTTTCCCTGTAATGAGGGCCAAACAGGGACATAATTTTAAATTATTTTTGGTAAAAAAATGATTATTGGTCATTGCACGTGTGGTTGCCACGAATGCAGATCGACCGCAAATTCCCGTACATATCCTTAGCACCATGATACCTAAGAAACGATGGGAAATAAATGAAAATGACCTAAATAAAGGAGCTATTTTTCCAAACTAGCCTTTCACTTGTTCAGCCAATTAAAGTACCTAAAATATCCCTCCTTATAAATATTACATACAAACCATTATAATATAGAAATCTTTCATTCTAATCTTTAAAATTACCCAAGTATGTGTGTGTATATATATATATATATATGTATGAGTGTAAATGATAATACATATTTAAAATTGAATAGATTAATTGTATATATTAATAAGATACAAGAAAAAAATACAAGATATAATATTAATACCAGATGGAGTAAAAGTAAAAGAAAAACAGTTAATAAAATTAAAGTGTGCTTTAAGATAATAAAAGAAGAACTAGTAAATACATATTTTGCTAAAGAAAGTTTTGAAAAAATAATAGAAGATAAAAAATGTAAATTAACTTATATGTTTGAAAGATGATTAAGAAAAAAATTAAGATGTCAACAAGTGAATATATGGAAGAATTAAAATCATTAATAAAAATGTTGATAAATGATGTTCAAGATTTAAGAAATGAAGTAAAAGACACAAGAAATGATATAAATATATTAAAAATTGAAATTAGAGAATTAAAAGAAAATAGATAAAAAAATTTATAGAAAAAGAAATGACCTGAATATGAAAGAAATATATTGAAAAAGAAAAATATAGTAATAGAAACATGGAGTATGGATGATGAATTTAGAAAAAATATATTACCTAAAATATTAGAAGAAGAATAATCTATAGAAAAAATATTAGAAAAATTAAAAATAGAAGAAAATCAAGATGAATGAGGAATTAGATTCACTTATAGAAAATTTTGATCAATTAAATTTAAATGATATAAGTGAATACCAAATTTTAATGAATACTAGATGACGACCTAATCCAATAAGAATATCTAAACAAGAATTGCAAAAATCAGATGAAAGTTATGCACTTATATATAATAAACCATATAGACAATTTTATAATAAAGTAAGAGATAGACAACCACCTAAATGAAATAAATATAGAGACGGGTTTGAATTAAATGATAATTATGATAAACCTATTAACCATGGAGGAACAAAATTATATTCAAATTGTAAAATAGATACTAAAAAAGTCTTATTAACTTGAGCAGATTCAATGATATTATTATTTTTATATAATAAAGATGACACATGGGAAAGTATTGAAAGACGAATAGATTTTTTAATAGCATCCTTTGAAAGAGATGTTAGAAATTGGTAGGAAGGAATAAGTAATTATATAAAAACATTAGTAAAAAAAATGTACAAACAGAAATAATAAAATCAAATAGATAAGGTATAGAAAAGTTAGTAGAATATATTTCAGATGAATATTTAAGAGAAAATTGGATAAAAAAATGCTGAGGGAGAATCAATAAGAGAAAAATATAATGCTAGGATTAAATTAATAAAATTAACATGTGATATATGTAAAATTAAAGAATATACTTGTGAATTTAGAAATTATTATTATGTTCAATTTATAGTAATGAAAATGAAGTAGTATACCAAGACATGTACTATAATAAGTTATCAGGTTCATGGGGAATATATTTTAAAATAGAATTTAGAAAATATGTCAGAGATAATATTGAAATACCTAGAATTTAAGTTCAAGAATAAAAATTTTATTTGAAAAACTTGCATATATATGTCAACAAAGATAATTATTGAAAAAATCAGGAAAATTATTTAGATTATGTCGTGAAGATATAGAAAATCCTATACAATGGAGATGTAATCCTGAAAGAATGGTTAATAAAAGAAAATATAAAAATTAAAGTTTAAAAATCTTAGAAATTTTAATAAAAAATATATAAAACCTAGAAGAAGATATTCTAACAGAAAAAATAACTCATATGATCGAGAGAAAAATAAAAATTATAAGAAAAATAAGAGCCAATGTAAATGTTGGAATTGTGAGGAAATAGGTCATATAAGCCCTGATTGTGATAAAAAAAAGTTAAAATATTACAAAAAGAATATTTGGAAATAAAAGATGAATTAAGTGAAATATCGGATATTGAATAATATTATAATCAAGAAGTATGTATAAGTGAAATAGAGGATGATGAATCAGAATCTGAATAAGGAAATGGAGAAAATAGAAAATAATAATAATATAAATATACAAGAATATGAAGGAATAGAATGTTATGGGTTAAAGGTAACCTTTGATAATAATAAATATAAGAAAATACAAAAATTATCTTTAAATTTAAAAATAGGAAAATGAGAAGTTTTAGACAGAATTTGAAAAAGAGAAATGATAGAAATAAATGAATATCATAAAATTGAGAAAACTATAAATGTAAAAACAACATATGAAAAACATAAATTAAATCTTTTAATAAAAAATACAGTTGAAGAACTATTAACAAATATCAATAAAAAATAAAGTGAAAAAATCCAATACATTTATCTAACAGGAATACAAATAATGTTTAAATTATTATTCAGAGAAGTGATAGACTTACCCTTAATTATAATTTTACATGATGGAAGAATAATAAATCTAAAAGATAGTCATTTATGAACAATAGAAGAAAATTTAGCATATCAAAAAATAATGTTTATATGCTATCCAAAATATTGTGTATCATTGAAAGATAGAAATTTTAATAAAGTTTTAGGATTGTATTTTAAGCTACATAGAAATGATATCATGCAACCAGGTGATCAAATTGTGACCATAGAATATAAAGTTTTATACACATTTACCAATTCTAATTATGAATTTTTTTTAATAAACCATATATTGAAGTATATAAAGAATGTAAGGATATTAGCAAAATAATAGAACCAAATAAACAAATAAGTTTAATTCCAGGAGAATATGAATTTAGTATAACAAGAAATAAACCTGAAATTACAGAATTAAATGAATGAGAATGTTCAAATAATATAACATTTAAGGATGAAAAATTAATTAAAAGATTAAAAAGTCTTATAATACCTAATAAAAACCAGTCAGAAAAATTTAGTAATATAAGAGAAAAAAAACTTTTCAGAAATGCTGGAAATATGAAAATAGAATGAGAATATTATAATGGAAGAGAATATATAAGTGAACCAAATATACTAATAGATACATGAAATAGTGAATGTCATATAACTTCAATCAGAAATAAAAGATTAATTACTCATAAAACTGATCCATATAGATATGTAAATTTTGATAGACAAATACATATTTCAGAATTAGAAGTTAAAGTACAAATAAAAATAGGAGGAATGAACTTTTTAGTACCATGTTATATGGATAAGAATATGGATATAAACCCTCATATACTTCTATATACTTCTAGGAATGAGTTTTTTGGATGGTTCAAAAGATTATAGTATAAAAAGAGAAGGATTATACATAGTACATAATAGACAAACTATATTATGTAAAGAACTAAATGAACAATCAGATAAATTTTCCATTAGCTATATATATACAAGTAACTATTGTAGGAACAAACATAACAACTTGTACTTTAATAGACACAGGAAATGATATAACAATATTTAAATTTTTTTTATAAAATCATAGAATAATAATATTAATATAAAACAAAAATTAGTCACAGGAGAAAGTACCAAGATAGTAAATAGTGCCAATAAAGTTAATATAATTCTTGGAAGTAAACAAGTTATAATAAATAAATTATATAAATATGATAAATTAGAATGTGATATATTGTTAGAAATGATTTTATACAACAATTTCAATATTATAAACAAAATAATTTTACGATAATATTACAAACACCCTGCTCGTACTTATTTAAAATTTCAAGAGAATTTAAATCTTATACAGTTCAGCTAGCCCTGCGTGGTGATATATGGGAGAAAAGAAAAAATCAAGCATATTTAACGAAATAAAAAATAAAAGAATATTATATAAAAAAAATCCTAAAAACAGGAATAGCAATGAGTATAGAAAAAATTATTGAACAACTAGAAAACGTTTATGGAGAAAATTCATTATTATTTTGAAAACCATATCACCTTAAAACCAAAATAGAATTAACAGAAAATGTTATAATAAGGGTCAGATCAATGATGTATACTATAGAAGATACACAAGAATTTAAAAATCAGATAAAAGAATTACTAGAACAGAAATTTATTAGATCTAGTAATGGACCTCATAGTGGTCCAGTCTTTATGGTTATGAAACATTGTGAACAGGTTAGATGAAAAGTTAGAATGGTTATAAATTATAAAGAATTAAATAAATATACTAAATTTAATGGATATTTTTTTATCAATTAAAGAAGTTTTAATAAACATTGCAAAACGAAAACAACATTATTTTAAATTTGATTGTAAATCATGATTTTGGCAAGTAAAAATGAAAGAAAATAGTATATAATATACTGCATTTAGCACACCTCAAGGAAAATATGAATGATTAGTAATGACATTTGGATTAAAAAATGCACCACAAATATAACAAAGAAAAATGGATAATATATTTAAAAAGTTTAATGAATTTCTAATTGTTTATATAGATGACATACAAATATGTTCCAATAGTAAAGAAGAATATAGAAATTATTTATTACAATTTATAAATGAATGTAAAAAAGAAGGAATTTTATTTTCTAAAAAGAAATCTATAACAGAAAAATGAAAAAATAGATTTTC